TGTTGGCATATGAGCACAGTTGAGCAGGCAAATGCCGTGCTATGGTGGCCTAGGGGTAGTGATCTCGTTTAAAAGCTGAGTGTGCACGGGTTTGCACCGCTGGTGAGGGAATTATCTTGTGTCCGATAACCTGAATTCCATTCCAATTATTGAAATTCCTCGGAGTTAGCGGCCCCACTGGCGCAAGTAAATTGAGTAGGTCCATTATTGACATGGCAGATCAAATATAGAATTGATCACGATCACATCAGCTCCGGCACCCACTATCTATCCAGCAATTCAGAGTTTGGACCAGAATTTCAGTTTGGCCAGAAACTTGAGTCCGCGGGTATTTTGACCCCCTGAGCACGAATACCGCACCCGCTTGACGCGGAAACGCCTGTAGCTTGCTCCACGCTGGACAGGCGCTTGCGCCAAACCATCATGGACCACCGAATCTGCAAGAGATCCTGTCTCCCGGGGTAGCTCAACTTCCAGGATGATAATATGACGTCCCTTTATCTCGAAACACTCTGCTCGTGAGCATCGGCACCAAGTACTTTTCACATTGTTGTCGTCAGTGCCTATAATGGGGGGAAATTGGTGTTTTTTGTGTCGAAGGGACGCCTGTTCGTGTTCAGAGGGTCAGAACACCCCGGGAACAATTTTCTAGCCAATCTTTGATCTTGGCCAAACTTTGGGTTGTCTGGTGGTGAGTGTCACTAGGGGCAAATGTGATCAGTTCCACATTTTATCTGCCACTTCATATAATTGACCTTCTGATCCACTTGCTCTGCTGGGCCGCTAACTCCGAGAAATTTTCGAGGAGTGGAAGCTCTCATCGGAGACAAGAGCAAAAATTCTCGCACTATCGTGAAGCAGACCCGTAGGTTCTTGGCTTCGGAGCGAGACCATCACCTCTAAGCTGCGGTCGCATGGCATTCGCATTCTCAGCAGTGCTCACATGAAAAACCGCATTGACAGCAAAATTGACCAGCTAGAACTCGTTTGGGAGACTCCCGTAGCTTAATCCGCATGTTTGCAATCAGCTTTGGAGACTCCTTTGATGTACTTAATTTCCATTCAATGTTCCATGGGAAGTTGGAAAAATTACCTAGTTAGTGAAGGCCTTCAGTACAAGGTAGTGAAAGGTTCTACTAATAAGGTGGTTCCAACTTCCCAAGAACATCGGTTCAGCAGATGCACCAAACTTTGTGGCGAATTCGTCTTTTCCCAGTCACGACTTGATCCTTCTTTTGCCCTTGATGCCCTTGGCCACGCATTCGGCTCCTGGGTGCTCGATAAAAGGCTGCTCTCGCTGCGTGACCCCAGTATCATCGCGAGCGTTCCTAGTGGGACCCCTTCCCTTCAGTGGGTCGCCTCCTCGAGAACTTATCCCCTTCGACTCTCCTGACGCAACAAGCTCGAACGCCAGTTATAAGTATCTAGCAACTAACTAGATTTAAATTTATTGATCTAATCAAAATTGAAATTATGTTTTTGCTTTGCATATATGGAATGCAGGCTAAAGGAGTAAACATCATAAAATGAGAAATAAGAAGTGCCGAAGTAAGGTGACGAGCCGTGATGGAATGATAACGAGTGTTCAGATGTTCGTCCTCCTTACTGATGGCACTGTTGTCCAAATCGATCTTTTTTCGCATTGATCTTCATACGATCCAACGCACTGTAACACTCGAATCGCTCACATCACACGCCTTGCCAGTTTTCGCAGTTGCAGTGTCAAAAATGATTCCAGCGCAGAGTCGGACCCCAAGTGAATTTATTCATCTTTGCCAAAAACTACTTGGAATGGGCGATAACGGTCCTCGTCTCAGGGTTGAATATATGGCGTGCTCCAAGGCTAGATTCCACTTTGTTTCCTAGCATGTCAACCAAATGTTAATCATAACAGTACAAAGGCAACTACCATTTTGAGCACGGTGCCGAAGGACAAGTCGTGCAGTCGTGCTCCCGAAAGTTTATGCAGCTAATATTCTACAACCAAATCAACTTGCTAAATCTACTAATCCTATGTTATATGCGTGTTACCACTTCATTATGTTGCAGAAAGCAAATGTTAAATAGCAATGGTCGACTCGAATTACAGTCGTCATAGCCTTATGCGAGCCAATGGTTTGCGACAGCTGTCCGCGCGTGTCCGAGCGCGGCGATCAGCGTTTCCAGCCTATTTTAGCCATTTTCTCCCTGACTTACACTGCTTTGGCTGCTTTTCTCACTATTGGTCGTTCCTTGTCTTCACAAAGTAAACTATGATTGGGATTCCTCTGATTTTTGCCTACAATTAAACAGTTGTGCAGATAAATGAACAAATACCTGAAAAAAATTGCAAAATCACTACATTGCAATACAAAAAAAAAACACTCCAGTATCCATGTATCATAAAGATACTTGGAAAAGCGAAGCTTCCATGGAAACAAAGTCCACTACTGCTCAAAAAGGGGCTTTCGCTAGAGCCAAAGTCTTCTGCGCATTGCAGTTTGGTTAGGCAGAATATGGTCGGAATAGTAAGTAGTTGCATAATAACGCTTCAAGTCATTGTGTAGCAGAGCAGACCAGTAGAATGACGTAGACAGCCTTTTAAATTCCTAATTCTAGCGCGTAGAACCTTGCGGCTATCGATCGGAATGGAGGCGGGGCTAACGGGCTGTGGGGCTAGCGTACAGCGATCCCGTGGCGGCGCGCGCTACAACGGGGTCAACTAAAAAAGAGGTAAGTGCTGATTTAACTTTTCATCAAATTGAGCCGTTGTTTAAATTTGGTAGTCCAGTTTTCACAAGGGAGTGGTTTTAGGTTCCCGTGGGACTTTAATGGAGACTCGTACATCAATATTTCGAATACTAATTGCGAATATACAGGTTAGTGCCATGGTGGCTTAGGGATAGTGGTCTCGCTTGAAGGCTGTGTGCCCACGGGTTTGCTTACCGCTGGTAATGGAATTATCTTGTCTCCGATAATTTGAATTTCACTCCAGTTATCGAAAATCCTCGGAGTTAACAGCCCAGTGGAGCAAGTGCTACGACTGTCTCCCAAAAGGGAAATAATTAAAAATCAAATGGCTATCTACGTTACTCTACTCCCAAAAGGGTCTGGGTGGTCCCCGTTTGGTGTCACACATTCATTCCCATTCTTCCCAACGATCATGCCATTTGTCGGTTCCCCACGATTCGACCTCCTCTCCTTCTTTGAAAAGTATGGGCTGATCGCTATATTGATGACGGGTATGTTCGTTTGATTATCTTGGATTCGAAACACTCCTGCTGCCATTCCGTCCCTACTTGGCCATATAACGCGATCTACCACTTCTTTGGTGTTCCCCTCACATCTTACTTCCACCAGGGCTGTCTCATGTGGTGGTATATACATTCGCTTCACTACTGCGATTCTGCCCTCCTCCTCACTGCGATTATTCACTTCCCTTGGGCTGACATCTCTCTGTCCTATAGATATTTCTACACCTAGGCCTTCTAGTGCGTTGGTACCCAGAATGATCTCTGCCTCCTTTCTTTTGCTAATGTGAAAGGCGACTTTACACCGATTTCCTCCTCGCAGTTCGGCTTCTATAATGACCGCACCTAGGAAATGCATTCTATTATCCGAAGCATCAAAAACTGGGCTCAACCTACACTCCTCTATCACTTCTAGCGCATCTACGTCGTAACCGTCCTGCTGCGCCTTCGCTAAGCACGCCCACTGGATATAATACTTATCATTGACCCGGTATCAATTAATGCAGAACTTGTCCTATTGAGAAGGCTTCAGGGATGCCACCACTCGATCCCCAATGAGGGTACTTTTGACCAATTCTTATCCTTCACCGCTATCCCCAAGCTAGTCGCCTGGTTAATAATGCTTGACACTGTGGCCTTCCCTGATCCTTTAAGTTCCACCTCTCTCGCGTTGTCCGTTGTGGGCAATTCCGACTTAAGTGCCCGTACCTTGAGCAAGTGTAGCATTTTCTAGACTCGTTGCTCTTGGGTTTGGCATAGCCTTATTACCAGGTAGCGCTTTGCGTGCCTCGAGCTTGATGTCCACTCCCATCCTGTTCCCCTTGACTCCTTCCCGCATGGCTCTTGCCTCTCCCACGCTCTCGTCTGGACCAGTCCTACACCCTCGTAACTAGTACGATATTGCGTGGATCTATTTTTCCAGCTTGCCTTGCCGGCGTGGCAGTTTGCACTCAGCATACGTTTTGACTGCTCAATACTTAGAGCTAGTTGTTTAATCTCATCATATGCCCTATGAGCCTCTACCTTATGTAGGGCACTCACTAACTGGAAATGTTCGGGCCAGTCCCCGAGGTTACTCAAGAGAATTTGGGCATATTCTAATGCTCGATCTTCAGGGTTCCCCTCTGGATATGCCTGCTGTCCCAAACTTTCTATCGCTACGCAGAAGTCAGCCACGTCTTGATTGGGCCTAATCTTCAACGCTCGTAGCTCCGTCAGTGCCCGCAGCCTACCTGCCGTGGACTCCTGCGACAGCAACCTAGACATCTCTCTTACGACTGCCCCAAATCCTTGCTCTTTTACCAGCCTGGGCAGCGCCTTTGTACATGTTTTTCGCCCTTCCACCTAAGTGGTCATCACTCAGGATCTCCAAAAGGGTGTCCTCACACTTCACTACTCCCTCATACTTCCTCTTGAATCGCCTCACAAATTCATTGAAGTTCTCATTCTTAGACCCCCTAAATACTCCGGGATCTGCACAAGCCATTGCCCTCAGATAACTTGCAAGCTGCTGAGAAGCAACCCCACCTGAGTTGTCCAGTGCTTGCTCCGCTGTTGCTTGCCTCTCCAAACGTGACCTCGACCACTCTTCCGATAGTTGTTCAGTCGAAGACGTCCTCTTCTGTAACAGGCTACTTTGAGTCACATCGGTCTGATTTCCGATCAAAGGGCAAGCCAAACTCGTATTACCGTGCTCCCCCATGTGCTGGCTTTGAACCATTGCTCGGAGCGTTTCGACTTCGCCTCTGACCTGCAATACGTCGGTTTTAATATCTCACATATGTCTGCTAACACCTCCCCATCTCTTTCCATGGTTCCTTATATACTCACGCCACTCCTCACTTGTTTCGATCCCTCTCTGGGTCAATACTTTGTCTATTTCCATCGCTAGCTCCGGGGAGATCCTTGATCCTCCCTGATCATTTCTCATGATCCCCTCTATCCGGCTAATGGTTACGGTCATTTCCTTCTGGATCTCACCCCTCTTTTCCTTCGATAACCGAGACTCACACAGTGTCTCGTTTATCTTCTTCTGTAATTGCCACAAAATCTGCACACAGCTCTCCCCCCCTCAGTGACCTTTCTTGAGTATGGGGAACTATCAAAGTTCGTACCTGGTCTCCTGGGTCAGTGTTTTCCGTGTCCATCATTGTATTTTCGCCCAGCATGACCATATCTCTGGAAAAGTTCACATCAGATTCTTTCTCCATGATACGGTGCCACCAACTTCCGAAGGCACGGGCTCTTTCCTTTTCAGCTCTTAGTGGCTCCTGCGTACGCCACTTGATCTCTAGACTACCCCTGCCTTACGGTAGTCTCGAAATGGCACAACGAATCAGACAGCACGACTATCAGCTGGTGGCCGGTTCGGCCCCCATGTACGGAATTCTAGCTTTACCACCTGCGATAGCGTGCGAATTACACCACGAAACGAGAGAAGTTTATTAAGAAGGGTTAGTTAGAAAAGAAAAATGAACACAACGAGATTGAGGTTAGCAGTAGAAACAAGGAAGAGTCGTGGAGAGTCGAGCGGCACAGCGAGAACTGGCGACCCCTGGAGGTGAAGAGGAGGTAAGTCGTAGTCGGTGCACGTCCAGTCGTCCTGAAATCCCACCAGAGGATTGTAGGTGCCACGGAGGCGGTTGGAACGTCCTGAAGCAGATTGAGTGAGGAGAAGAGGAAGAGAATGTTACTTACTTGTAGCGGGCTCCTTTTATGCCAGATCCTCCCGCGCGGTCACAACCTATCCAAGATCAAAGAGGGCCCCTCGCCGCTACTTACTACTACCTTTGAAAATGCATCTGGATATTTCACTAATAGTCTTCTGATTTCTGTATCTACGGTATCTGTTTCCATATTAGCAACTATAAATTTTATCAATCTCTCCAATCTCTCCTTTCCCGGAAGCTTATCTTCCCCCTCATCATTTCTGACATTCTTTTGTCCATCGAGCGATATCCTGGGCCATTCCTGGGCCAGTACACTTCCTTTTTCAGTCTGTTTATGTCTTATATGTCTTATGTCTATGTCTTATACGCACTAAAATGCCCTGCCAGAACGCCACTATGTGACTCACGGAATATCTCATATCTATATGGCCTCGAGACTACCCATAGTGCCTTTACACTCTCTAAGTACAGTTTTAATTCGCCCTCTTCGACTGCAAAGTCCGCTATCCTCAGCGTCCTCTTTTCTCCTGGGAGCCTCACTACTTCTTCCCACTTTTGTTCTTCCACCAGTCGAACTACTTCTGCGAGATGGGGATCCTCTCTTAGTTTGGATAACCACTTGTCTATTCCTTCCAAATACTGAGCCGTCATTGAAGTTGGTAGCCCCCTGCTGAGTGCGTCCGCAACCACGTTGGCTTTCCCTTTAACATATTGAATCTCCAGTTTGTACCTCTGGAGCTCCAAAGACCACCTCAACACACTTACGGACTCCCAGCACCGTATCCATCAATCTCTGGAACACCGCTGGACTAGTGCTTAACCCGAAGGGTGTCACTCTGAACTGAAAGAGTCCGTCTGGTGTTGCAAACGCTGATTTTTCCTTGGCGTCCTCCGCGAGTGGTATTTGCTACCCACTACTTAAATCCAAGGTCGAAAAGAAACGTTTCCCTGGACAGACTCTGTAGAACTGCCTCTATACTAGGAAGAGGTTAGGCATCCAGCTTAATTCTTTTGTTCAGCTCTCTGTAGTCTACACATAGACGGATCGAGCCATCTTTCTTCTCTACGAGTACTATGGGAAACGCCCAGTCTGATTTGCTATGCTCTATGACTTTCCTTTCCACTAAGTCCGCTAAGAGCTCCCTAAGCTTGGTCCTTATTCCTAACGGTACTGGTCTAGCTTTCATTGGAGCACTTTCTCCAGTGTCAATAGTCATGTTTACCAAACTGGTCTGACTTAATTCCTTCTCTGAGATTTCCACTTTTACGGCCCCTATTGTGTTTCGTGTCTACTCTGTCGTCCGATACTTCTTTAGGGACTATCCTCAAGGCGTCAAATTGAACTCTTATTGGCTCGCTGTTCTCGCCTATTCTAGTTACTAAGGCTGAATTGTCACTTGCTTCTATTACTCGAAATGGCCCTGCCCACTCACAGGCCAGTTTCGGATGAGAATTCCGCGCTTTCTCGTTTGGAGCTAGTACATAGACTCGGTCTCCTACTTTCGGGTATGTTCTGCTTTCTACCTTGTTATTCTTGTCATAACGTTTCTTCATCTGCTCGCGTATTCTACCGTTATACTCTCTCACTCTTTCATGGGCTTCTGCCACTGCTTGTAGAATTTCTGCCCTATACTCATCCAATGTTCTGTCCATAGAGTACCACGTTATTCCTCCGTTTGGGATAATCTCCGACGGAAAGACGGGATCTACGCCGTGGAGCAAAAAATATGGGCTTTCGCCGGTTGCGCTGTGAGGGGTCATGTTGTAGGCCATCATGCAAAATGGTAGTCTCGAGTCCCATTCTGTGGGGATGACCGTGCTCCTCCTCAACATGGCTACTATAGTTCCATTCAGTTTCTCTGTTAGCCCGTTCTCTCTCGGGTTGTATCCCTTTGTGGTGACATGTGTGATTTTCGTGATCTTTGTAATTTCTTCCATCACGTTGTTCACGAATTCCCCACCTCTATCCGAGAGAATCGTTTTAGGCCATCGACAACCTTCCGCGATCCATCTGATGAAAAGTGTCTTGGCGATGGTCTCTGCTGACTTATTGCTAACAGGGTATGCCGCGGCGTACTTCGAAAAGTGGTCTATAACTGTGACCGCGTACCTGTTCCCATTTTTAGTCGGTCCTAGTTCTAACACGTCTATACCTATTATTTCATATGGCCTTGCTGTTACTATTGGCTTCAAAGGGGGAGTCATCACCTCTTGCGGATTGTGGACAAAAGGGGAGTCATCCTTTATAAATTCACTAACCAAACCAATGGTGAAAACAGATGGAAAGCATGTTATCGTGTACGGAATTCTAGCTTTACCACCTGCGATAGCGTGCGAATTACACCACGAAACGAGAGAAGTTTATTAAGAAGGGTTAGTTAGAAAAGAAAAATGAACACAACGAGATTGAGGTTAGCAGTAGAAACAAGGAAGAGTCGTGGAGAGTCGAGCGGCACAGCGAGAACTGGCGACCCCTGGAGGTGAAGAGGAGGTAAGTCGTAGTCGGTGCACGTCCAGTCGTCCTGAAATCCCACCAGAGGATTGTAGGTGCCACGGAGGCGGTTGGAACGTCCTGAAGCAGATTGAGTGAGGAGAAGAGGAAGAGAATGTTACTTACTTGTAGCGGGCTCCTTTTATGCCAGATCCTCCCGCGCGGTCACAACCTATCCAAGATCAAAGAGGGCCCCTCGCCGCTACTTACTACTACCTTGATCCTTCCTTTGCCCCTTTTGATCCCTTGACCACGCATTCGCTCTCTGGTGGCTCTGATCAGGCTGCCTCTCGCTCGGTGACCCCCGTGATCATCGCGAGCGTCCTAGTGGGCCCTCCGCTTCAGGGGTCGCCTTTCCGGGGACTTATCTCCCTCGACTCTCCTCCGCAACACGCCCCCCCTCGGCGGAGTCGGTGTCCTCACCGACCGCTCTGACTTCAGCGGTGGCAACCCTGCTGCGGGATCCTTTTCCGACTACTTCGTACAGTAGTTTCGCCGCTGCCGCGGCGTTGTATGCTTTATGGAACTGGCCAGCTGACTCTGGACATCCCGCTTCCAAAAAAGTTTTCCTTCCAGGACCTTGTTGCTCGCTGTGAGCATGACTTGCTCTTCTCCCCCGAAGTCCAGCAGAATCCTATCGAGTGCCTGCCAAAGCCTACTCACTGACAGCCATTTTGAGAGGTTCTGGGCTGTCACTGGCGCCCATACCGTGATCACTTTGCCCCTTCCTCCAAGTGTGACTTCGTCAGACGTGCTATCTCCTCGATTGTGGCACTTTCGACTTTGCTGTCGATCGGATAGACTAAGAGCCACGTCCCACATCTTTTCCAGGCCACCAGTGTTTCCTTCAGTGCTGCATATGACGTGACAACTTTCGTGATGAGCCCTTGTCTTGGCCCATCTTTCTCCAGAAGTGTGGCCGATTCAGGGGCTGCGAACCCAACCGGCCCCTTCTTCGTGATCCTCGTCGGCCTTTCGCTCCCTCTTGAGCTTTTCGAAGGCGATCTGGTAAAAATCCGTCACGCGGATATCCTCAACAGCTGGGTGCTTGGCAATGGCCACGTTCGAGCATGTAAATTCGGTCCATTCCGTGCACACTTCGTATGCCACTTTCAATACATGATGAAGTGCCTCCGTGTCCAAGGTGACCACTCGTTCCTTGCATCTGCCGAATCTTTTCCGAGGCGCTGATATCCGTTCTGATAAATATAGACGACACTTTCCAAGCGGATCACACGTCCTCAAAGGGTTTTCCTTGCGAAAGCCCCCGGAAATGCCACGCCGTGAATGTCGCCGAGAGTAACTTTCGAGAAGCAGTCGTCGAGGCACTGGAACTGTAGGTGCCCTTTGTCCACGACGTCCTTTATAGTGGCGCCTCTGAAATACGGACAATGAATTTTAGTCACTTTCACTCTATTTTTTTCCACTTCTCGCGGAGCATCTGGTCGGAAACAGATGACAACGGCATGTTTCGTAATTTGCGGATCTATTTTACTCTCACCTTCTCTGGTATGGTCAAGAGCATTGTCAAGAACAGGAGTAAGCTTCTACAGTAAGCTTCTGCAACTCCTTCAACAGGGAATGACGACTCCACCCACTTCGAACAGCGAGTGGTCCATCTCTTGCTGAAAACCGCCCTGTGCACTCCGGTATCCATTCAAGAAAACATGGGTGCTACCCCTTGTCATTCCTTCTTCACACTATGCCGTGATGACAATGTCATGTCTGCTTTTGTTTTTTCCAATAGTTTTGCCACGGAAGTACTGCTGCATCGCCTCGGCGGAGTGAATACGTAACATGGCGTTACTTGCACAGCCTCTTCACCATACCTTTGAACATCCATGTCTCGTCCATGTAGATCACGCAGTCCCCTCGATCCTGACCTCATCAATTTTCTTGAATACAGGGATCGCTTGCAGGTAAAACCGACCATTCGAATGCATATCGTTGCCCTTGAAGAATTTTGTATGAAAACTCAAGTCTCTTTACCAGCCTAAGCGTCATCCAGCGATAACGAGAAGTGTGGATAGGCTTCCTGCATCTGCTGGCG